AACCAGAGCAGCGCACGGAAACGCCGTTTACCTTCCCGCCAGAGTGGTACCTATTTATCTACTTGCACTTTGACGTGCTTTCGAACTTCCATACTCGGATTTAAATAGAAACGCAATCCCATCTCTGGCAGCTTCAAGGCTGTCACTTCTGCTGCTGCTGCTGCTTTGTTTTTGGACCAGAGTCAGGCCATTGATGCACCCCAGCTCTGTAGTGTCTACCCAGACTGGCAGAGGCACTCCTGGATGTCAGGCACGGAGCTTCCTCCAGCCCTACCTGAAGATGTACCTGGGATGTTCTGCTCACCCCATTTTAAGTGTGCTGTTCTGTTTTTAATCTCTGCATTTTAATATATCTGGGGTTTTGTATTGCTTTAATTCTGTTAGAGTTTAATTGCTTTACAACTTATTATTTTTCACAGGCTTTCGGCCCTTCTGAATTTTCCCTTGTGCGGTTTTTAATTTGTGTCAGCTGCCTTGAGTCCCACTGTGGGGAAATGACAGGATATTATCCCAAACTACAGCCCTTCCTCCTCCACAGAAGGAACCATCCTCTGTTGACTGGGGCACACAGAATAATAGAATGGTCAAGAGCTGGAGGGGTTCCCCAAAGGTCATGTAGCCCAACCTGCTCGTATGGCCACTCTAACTGAAAACTGTAGGCTCCTTGGGGCAGGTCCTCATAGTAATAAGGATGATGGTCACTTTCTCCCACGTAGTTGAGCGCTACCTGCCGCGGCCTTTGGTGGGAATGTGTCACCAATGCCTTTGACGGGATAACAACCTGCGATGAATATGACTCCATCTTGGCTGAGCACCCAGGTATGTCTGCTGTGAGTTGTTGTTATTATTATTATTATTATTATTATTATTACTGGATCAATTCTGAAGGAAACAGGTCTTAGAGAAAGCATTTACTGGGACAGGTCACCATAAGCTGAAAAACTTGGTTTTTGTTTGTTTTATTGTTTGTTTTATTTGGTTTTCACTTTAATAATATCAAAATCACGTATAATTCATCATATAAACAGCTGTATAAACACAAAACACATTTAGTTGAGTTGCATGCTGTTCACTTCTCTGGAATCGTTATGCTGATGTCATAATGATCTGAAAACTATATTTATTTATTTATTTATTGCATTTAAATATCACGTTCTCCCTCTCTAAGGAGCTCCCTCTCCCACACTCCTCCTTTAGTCCCTACAAGAACCCTGTGAGATAGGTCAGTCTGGAGGAAGCGACTGAGCTCAAGGTCACCCAGTGAGCTGTATGGCCAGGGAGGGATTCGAACCCTGGTCTCCCAGGTCCTACTCTGACACGCTAACCACTGCACCACACCAGAGTCCCCTCCCTTCTGCCTCCAGGCTCTTTCTTGTTTTTGCAGTGAAACTGGTCCTGACCCGAGCGATGCTCATCACAGCTGACATCCTGGCTGGCTTCGGGTTCACCTTCCTCCTCCTGGGCCTGGACTGTGTGAAATTCCTCACGGATGAACCTGGAATCAAAACCCAAATCTGCTTCATAGCTGGACTGGCTCTGCTAACGGGAGGTAAGGTAAAGGTAAAGGTACCCCTGCCCGGGCCAGTCTTGACAGACTCTAGGGTTGTGCGCCCATCTCACTCTATAGGCCGTGGGCCAGCGCTGTCCGGAGACACTTCCGGGTCATGTGGCCAGCGTGACATCGCTGCTCTGGCGAGCCAGAGCCGCACATGGAAACGCCGTTTACCTCCCCGCTAGTAATCCCCGTGGCGGGGTGCGCTACTTGCACCCAGGGGTGCTTTCGAACTGCTAGGTTGGCAGGCGCTGGGACCGAGCAACGGGGACCCCGCACCCCGCCACGGGGATTTGAACCGCCGACCTTTCGATCGGCAAGCCCTAGGCGCTGAGGCTTTTACCCACAGCGCCACCCACGTCCGCGTGAACAGGAGGTAGTTGGCCGCAGAAAGCTGAGACCTGGGTCGGGTGGGGCTGGGAGATAGAAGGAGTTTAAAGTTAAAATGTTAAAGTGATAATAATGCTAAATTATTATCAATTTACAGTGGGGTGGAAGGTTCACAGGCTATGAAGGACTTGCTCGCAAATTTATTGACATCTGCACTCTGGGCGGCTTCCAACAGAACACTAAAATACAATAACCTGTTAAACATTAAAAGCTTTCCTAAAGAGGGCTGCCTTCAGATGTCTTCTAAAAGTTTGGTATTTATTTTTCTCTTTGACATCTGATGGGAGGGCGTTCCACAGGGCGGGCGCCACCACCAAGAAGGCCCTCTGCCTGGTTCCCTGTAACCTGGCTTCTCGCGGTGAGGGAACCTCCAGAAGGCCTTTGGCGCTGGACCTCAGTGTCCGGGTAGAACAATGGGGGTGGAGACGCTCCTTCAGGTCTACTGGGCCGAGGCCGTTTAGGGCTTTCAAGGTCAGCACCAACACTTTCAATTGTGCTTGGAAACGTACTAAGCTAAGAGAAGAGGGTGGAGGAAAGGCGATACCCCTTAGCTTGGAAGCCCCCCTGAATTAGTTGCAGCTCTTGCAACCTGGCTCCATCTTTTGGCGTGTGGTGAGGACACTTAAATGGCCAGCTAAAAAGAAACTTGT